GATAGATAGATAGATAGATAGATAGATAGATAGATAGATAGATAGATAGATAGATAGATAGATAGATAGATAGATAGATGTTAAACATATGCAAGCCGCTGTGAAAAGTGGTCCATCTGATTTGCACAGATTATTTAACCTTTCTCCGCCTGAAGCGACGACGTTGATCGCCGGGGTCTCAATTCAATAAAGATGAAAAATGGCTCATAATAAAAGCGCGACACGGGGAAAAACGAATTTAATATATCACCGTTTTATTACGCACTTATTTCACTTTCCGTGCGAATAAAGATATCTCTCAACTGCACAAGGTGGCTAGAGGGAAGCATAAAAATCAATTGTGTGGATGCTGAGGCCATATCAATAACGGGGTGCGCGCACGATGAACGGCTGCGGAGGAAAACACCGCCGCTGCTCGGCCTGTTTATGTTTGCGCGTCACAGGGAAATGAATTGAACAGGGAGGAGAGGATTCACGGAGCATCAGATCAGCTTACCGGGGAGGTAATTGGCCGTTTATGCAAAAACAGGAAGATCTATGGGCAGGAGGAGGGAAAACAGTGTTTGATAGTCTACTGGTCCGTAAACTATCCCTCTTTCGGCTGATGCAGCTGCAGATAGTGACGTCTGCCATTGCAAACCCACGCATGAAGGAAGGAGCAGGGTTTCCCTTTCACACCTGGAAGAAGTAAGCAACAGTCAAAAAAATGGGAGAAAATCTGTATTTAGTCTAAACTGATTTGTAAGCCTATATTACAATAAATTGGTCCACAATTAATAAATATGCATTTAATGAGGTGCACCTTTGTCTGCGGATTAATCCAGGTTTTTTTTTTAATTATTATTATTATTATTATTACAAATAGCCTATACCCGACCCAAGGCAAAAGCAATTTAATTATACCTTTGTCAGTACATGCTTTAAATACTTATTTTAATCCGTTTTATTTCTTTAGTTCCAAACAGTTTATAAGAACATTTGTGTTTCTTTTTTCTATAACACATAAAAGTTTTAGTTCATGTATACCTCACACTTCATGTAATTAATCAAAGTCACTTTGGTTTTCTAGGCAAATAAAGCAATAGCAGTGCATTTTAGACCTATTGTTAATGACCAGTCAAATACAATCTGATATAATTATTATATTATTCATAAATACACTTTTTATCTTTACTCATTGTTTAATTTTGCAGATGTGGGACCAAGTCCTGAGACTTGTGATACACCACAAGTAACCCTTAGCAAATCAAAGTGAACATTCTCTATTTGAACTTGCTGTTTTTTTATAAAGGTGACACTTTATCCAAGGACGTTTGCCTCCTCTAATATTGAAAGCTTTCTCATCTGCAGTTTATAATCATTGGTTAAAAAAAAATCCATTAATAAATTTCCAATTATTCAAATTATTTTGCTGCATTTTTGCCATTAAAGTCGCCATGTAAGCATTAAATCTACACTGGTAAATAACCAATAATCTTTTAAGATTGGAAAACTAAAATCCCAAAATACATTTTTTTCCTTAAAAACAAGCTTTCTTAACATATTCAAAGATTTTAAGATGACTGTGACATTAAAATAATGTTATTATGTCACTTTATTGGGTCAGATCATATACATTATTTTACCACAAATAATGAATAAACTCCAGCTTAGTATTTTAACTAAGATAAATAATGTTATTTATAAGATTTTCTAACAGCTGTCATGTTGGTAGACATGAACAGGTGTTATTGGTTTACTAAGATGGGAGTAAATGCTACGCCTGTTGGCTTCAATATCAGTATCATGCATATTTTGTTTTATACATGAAGGAAGAATCAAGAATTAAGCTTTGATTAGTTGGATTTTAATTTTTCAGTAATTTAGATGGATCTTTCTTATGTAGTTTACAGAAAACAATAACTTGCAGATTAAAACATCTAATTTAGGATTAAAAAAATAAACTTCTAACACAGCAACTCAAGTAAATAGATAAAACCCTTGAAAGTATTAATGATTTGCAATCGATGTGCCAGAAGCAACTATTATGATGAATTTAACAGCAGTTTGGGCCTCTAATTAATTTCTGCTTAATGCCCCATCAAACCTTGAACAGGCTCTTGCTAAGCATACTTTTATGTTAAATTATTTTGTTTGAAAAACTGAAATTCTAACAAAATCCATTTTATGAGTCAGCTCTGCAGCCGGATGTTTGTCTATTTGCACGTTGAGCGCAGCTGTTAAACCTGTAACCAACAGGAGCAATATCACAGATCTCTTTATTGAGGTTGACAAGCCGATCCGTCCTCATCAGGACACCAAGTGTCTCTTTTCATTATTCTCACCAGTTCAGGCTGTTGGCCGTGATTAGCTCCCGCGTCTGCTGTTGGAGGGAAGTATCAGGGGGATGACAGAGATTTGTTTTAAAGTTATCTCATTTCTAATGTGCAGTCTGGGACTCTTTCTGGATGAGTGTGAATGTGTTTGTATTGATTTGGGTATTTTGGGATTGTGATGAGAGGATTTTATTCAATCATTTTAAAAGCACCACAACATGTGCAATTTTAAGGACATGTCTTAGAAAATAATTCATATTTAGAGCAGTTCCCAGACAGACAAGTCCAGAGCCAGTCTTGTGAAGTTTGTTGTGCAACTTTGTCCTCTCTGCTGGCTTTGAATTCATAAAGGACATTGTCTCAATGACATACATGGAAACATTAATATGATAAAGAGTAATAATAGAATAGAGTAGATTAGAAATCCCTTTATTGTACCACAATGGGGAAATTCTGGTCTTTACTGCAGCAAAAGGTTATAGAAAAAATGGTCACATGAATGTGAACATAAGAAAAAATTTACAAGAATAACATAATAGTGAAAAGTTTAAAGATAAACAATAAAATACTGTATGGTAAAGTATTTTAACAATATAAAACTGTGAACATGGCAAATAAATAACCAATATACAGCTATGGACATTTTTTAAGTAATGAATGTTCGAAAATAGGAGCAACATTAGGGATTTGCAAAATGATCCAGCATGTTATTTAACTGACTAAGGTAGAAACTGTGCAAAAAGCAGAATGTAACAACATATTGAGGTTGTTGGGAACAGTGGTGGTTGTAAGTCTTCCAGCTGCTGGGAGGAAGGATCTGTGATAACGCTCCCTGGTGCATTTAGGGTGCAGCAGGTGCAATAAGGTAAAGCTAATTTGATCA